TCCTCACCTTGGAAAGGTAGTACATCTGGCCTTGTCCCTTTTTGAGCCTGTACAAGTGGACAAACTCTTCGACAGACGGCTCGCCTAGCTTAGCGATCATATACGTGATGTATACCTCGGTAATGATCAAGTAAGAATTGGCCGTCAGTTGAAGAGGAGCAATGTCGAATCGCCTCAACACTTTATCGATGAAAGGGTGCGAGGGAATGGATACCCCGCATCTGAGGAGAGTCTCGAAAATTGCCACCGATCCAGCTGGAGGGTTCTTCCGAGAGTGTTTGTCGAACCGGTTGTCACAATCACAAATTTAAACCTAAATACTGTAGTTAGCGGTAAGCAGGGTCGAATCCACAGAGAGCAAGACTAACAACCTAATGTATATTTGAGTAGTGAAAATGAAATTGGCAATTTTGATTAATTAAACTAAACAAACTAAATGCAAATAAAAAAAGCTTGAAATTTAAACTAATGAAGACTTTATAATAAAAACGTTGCTGCTACGGTTTTGGTTCGACATGAGACCAACTCACACAATTCTCCTTCACCCTCTACGATCCCCTAAGCCTACAGGGCAGGGTAAATCAATGAAATGGCTTGCCGGCACTCTAAGTATAATCTATCCTGTCTCATCCGATCACTTAAGTTCGATTGGTTAAAGACTATCATTGATGGCCACAAACACTACAAAACAATACCACTAGTTGGTACGTGATTAACAAATACAATTTGTCAACACGTATCATCCAATCAACCCACTTCACAATAAACACAACAACAGTAGAAATGACATTAAATCCGAACACAACTTAATTACAATCGATGTGAAGTAATGAAAAGTAATATTCATCATTAAATTATCTCAAACTAACGTCTATCATTCAATAAGTTCTATGAAAACATTTAATCACAATGGACAACTATATTCATCACAAATAATGCTCAAACCATATTAAAGTATCGAAATCAAACATGAAATGAAAACAAATATAATTCGAAACACAATACTACCAAATGTCCTACAATCGGGCTCATCCAACTAGTCGAGAGCTAATGAGGAGAGTAGTGGAGTCAATCTCGATCCCGCCTACACCGTAACAGACAACTGGGAACTTAGCCGCTCATAGTGGTGTCGACGGAGGCTGAAGCGGTGGAAACGAAGTTGATCGTGGTGGAAAGGAAGTAATCAACAGCGATATGATGCAAAGAAGGGGTGACAATGACCAACGGACAACCCGGAATACGAACAGTCGCACTCGCCGGAATACGTTAGTTTTTCGGTAGGTCTTCAGGCAAATGGTGGCAGAAATGGGATCCGAATGTACCAATGGAAAGCTTAGGTGATGGGGAGTTCAGATCAGGTGTTGAGGAGATGAAAGTTCATCGGAAATAGGAGAGATTGCGGCTGGAAGGCGAAGAGGCGCGACGGTGGCGATGGTAGATTCCAGCGTTTTTGGCTGTAGCTAAAGCTTGGAATGGATAGATCTGAGTGTAGGGAAGGAAGATCGGCCACCAGGGAAGTGAAGCGTCGCCAGAGGTTGCTGAAAAATGGCCTAACGTCGACTGGAATGCGAAGAGTCGCGACGGCAAAACGTGTGATCGCGGTGGTATCGACGAGATGATGATGATCGATGCAAGGGGAATACGAAAGGTCGCCGGACGTCGCCGGAAAAGGGAAAGGAAGAGTCACGGCGGTGATCATTGTGGATGGATGAATGACGCTCTAGATTTGCGACCCTTCACTTTCTTTTTATGCACAAAGTGAAAAATATCGCTTTGGCCCTGCACAATTGAAAAGTGACAAAATCAATCCCTATAAATTTGACAGTTTACCCCCTAAACAACATAAATGAGACAAAATCAACCCTAATCCATAAACCACAACCTAATATCAACTCATACCCTTTCCAAAAATCATTTCAAACATGTTAAATTCATAAGAAAAATATTATGATGCGATTTTCATGAATAAATTCATAAATTCTTTAATTATCTCAATATGATTTCATTTTAATTAGACATAGGGTCTTTTTATCACCAAAATAGAGTCATTTTCATGACTCTAATAGTGTTCTCACGGGGCCATCAGGTTGAGCTGCGGCACATAGGTCGCCCTGATGCGTTCAAGATCCCCAAGGGTGATCGAGGATTGTGGCTCTTTTTGTAGCCTGTGAGCTGGAAACAGTGGGGAATGAGCCAGTTGGATTGCAGCACGGTCCAACAAGCCTACAGCATCAGGGTGTGAGCTTCTAGCGACAAACTCTTTGGATATCTCGAGAGACACATCCCCTAGTGCTACCAAACCAATCGGTGAATCGAACATTCGATCTATTGTGCGACTGCTAGACGAGGACATGGTTCTAATTCGACTCTAGGTACCTGAAAAAAGAAGCGAACATGTGTTAGAGCCTGAAGAACTCGGCGACCATTCCACGTTCGCTTCCATCTTAGGCACCCAAAATAGCTTGTGCAACATAACAAAGTCATGCGACCTACCCAGGACACCGGCGGCCATTGCAATTAAACCCCTTTAAAACCCGAGACTGCCAGAAATACACCCCAAAAACCATATTAAGACCTTAAAACATCCAATGCGGCCACTACATCAGCCACCCTTTAGCACAAAAGTCAGAAAAATGAGCAAGGAAGAGAAAGAAGTCTTACCGGAATAAAGAAGAGCGCTGAGAACTCGTAAGAAAGACCACCACGACGACGTAAGAGCAACAGCAAAGAAAAGCGAGAGGGTGGAAGAACTTTTAGAGTGGCTATCATGAATATTTGGCACCTTTTATAGTGATTTTTGCATGGAAGACGAAAGGGCAGAGTTCAATCTCGACCATTGACTCACAACTGATCCTAGCCCTTCATTCGTTGAACGATCTCAGCCCTTGGACATGGCCATGTGTCGACCATCCACAAGGTGCAACGAACCGTTGAAAATGATAACCGTCGTCGCACGACGCCTCAACTTCATGCCTGAACAGCTGTTATTGCCCACACGCAACGAAACGTAACTGACAAAGACTGTCGCATTTAATGTGACACGACCACGCGAAAATTACATTTATACCCTGACTTTTTGTGTTCTGAGTTTTTCCGTCAAGCTCGAGCCAATGCGAGGATATAGCTCGGCCTAGAATGATCTCGAAAACTATGATTGATCGACGCAGCATAAGCTCGTCGAGCCGTAGCTCAACCTAGCACAAGCTAATCGCAGACAATCCCAGGAATCAATCAATCAATCCCCAGATTACTTTAGATCCCGGATATCGCGGGAATGACTAGATCAACAGTTATCGTTGTGCGATCATGGAGCTCAATCGCAAGGATATCGGAATTGTGATTCAAATCATTTGTAATCCCCTTAATTTCGCTCTTTTCTTTACGTAAATCTTATATATAAACCCCCTAAAACGATGAGGATGGGGATACGAATTCTGGATTAAAACTACATTGTAAGCTCTCACAACATATACAAAAACACAGTAGACGTAGGCAGTTTAACTTCACCGAACCACTTTAAAAGTTATCTTTATCATTTACTTTCTGACATTATCATTCACTCATCGCTGATTACCCGTAATCACGCACACATCAGTTTCGATCCCGACAAGGTCGATCGGATCTCGTTGGTTGGTGCAGATTTCTATATCAACATTGGCTCTTCTATATTGGATCATAGCAATATTCACTTCTTTAATTCTCTAGATTCCTCCTTTAATATTGATTTTGCTTTTTATTTGGGAGAATATCTCTTCTCTTGGATTATTTACTTAACATGCAAGTAATATCCGATAAACATAATTATATTTATGCCTTTAGGAAATTCAGGCATTACAAAACTAATAATATATATATACAAATTTTTTTTAATATAAACTATTTATGTATTCTCTATAATCCTTAAAACTTTAAATAAACGAAATTGAAAGTAGATACATCAGTTTGTTAATGAATTTGCACATGTAACATAAGGATGAATAAAAATAGATTCAGGTAATTTTGATGCCTCAATCTACTGATGGGAAAGCTCTGTAGGTAATTCAAATTCGATTGGTTGGTCTAACTATTCAATCCAAACGTAATATAATTGAACTACCAGATAATGTTCACGAAAGAGAAATATTTTAACAACCTATTGCTTGTATTATAAGAAACATTCTTTCAAAGGTGTGATTTATTCGCTACTTTGATTAAACCAGTTTATATTACTTTGATTAAACCATTTTTTTTTTTTTTTTTGGTTTGCGGTTAAAGAATACTTTGTATATTGCCAAATCTTAGTGCGAGTAACGCAAATTTGCAAAGTAACATTGGGCCAACAATGGGTCTGGCCTTTTTGCTGGAACTACACAATTTCTAGTGCATGGAAAATGGTTTAACTCCACCAACCTATTAGTATCTCTACAGTTAAATTTACCCTTTTTATTTTATATTCTAAAAGAATACTCTTTCAATCCTCAATGCATAATTAAGTTTTTGTTTATATTCTTTTTCTATAATTTCATATTTAAAACTTATTTTTTTATTAAATTTATCCTATTTTATGATATTTTTTATATGTTTTCAATAATATATTTTCACTGAACAAATAAATATAATATATTTTCATTAAATAATTAAAAAAGACTTCGATAATTTATTAAAATTTAGGAGGAAGACAAAAATATAAAATAGATTTAAAGCTTCTATATGTATTTCAAACCACCCCATTTCTTAAAAAATCAAGGCCTCGTTTATAAAAAACTTGATTGCTGTTAACTTAGAAAAAAAAGAAGGTGTTCATTGCGAGGCCCATTAAGTTGAGGATTTTCATTCTTCCCTCCAATTGAACAAGAAAATATTGAGCTTTAATCCCTTCATACAGTCAACAACATACGAAATAATTTAGAACACAGTTGAAGAAACGTGTTTGAAGATAAATTATTTATCTTTCTTACAATCCGTTTCTCAGGTTTAACATTACGAAACAAACAACTCATAAAAACACTAAAGATCATCATCGTTTCCTTTAATCACAATCACTTAACCTTCAAGTGAGGATCAATCTCAACCCTCGCCACTCCTTCCCTTTCCTCCGCCAATTTCGCCACATCCACATCCCCAACAACGAACCCCGCCACCTCACTCTTTTCTTCTCTCAGAATCTTCTCCTCAGCCTCTTCATCGAGATAGTTCGGATCTTTCTCGTCAATAGCAGGCGGAGCCGCGTTCAACTCGCTCTCCGCCAGGTCATCCGGACCCTCCCACGTGTACTTCCCACCGTGCCCGGACTTCGGCGGAGGCCTGCCGATCCCTATCCCGTTGGCGGGGTGGCGATCCATGCGCTGCACGCCCTTGTCTATGAGTTTCTTCTCCACGTATTTGATAGTGTCGATGTTGTGCGTGTTTAGCTCCGTCTTTTCAACTCTCTTTCGACCTTCTTCATCGTGACTCACAGCGCGGATTGTCACCGTTTCTTTCTTGTCATCAATGGGTTTCATTTTTACTTCCAAAATGGTAGATAGCTAGTGTGACTGTATTGGGCAAACCGCTGACTTTTCTCTCAAACTTCTCACGTGGCTTGGATAGGGATAGGGATAGGGTTGATGGTATTTATAGTAATGGTAAGCAAAGTCCTTTAGATACTAGAAGTTGCTGGAATTGAGGGCTTGAGGTGTTGCTAGAAAGCTCTGCCACCCGGTAATTGGTATACATAACTTGCCACGTGTAACCTTGTCTTCTTGTGTGTAATGGCAGCCTTAAGTTTGATTCCTTCTACTTTTCTAGTAAGTGTGAGAAGCATTTGTAGAACCAGAAAGATATATATGATGGGTTCTAGCGTATTCTATGAGTTTGAGGGCACAACTCATACTGTTGCCTTGTCGGCGACTCAAATTTTACCAGGAGAGGAGAGTTATGATGTTATCGACTGCATATAAAATAAATCTCCAAGAGTAATATTTTTGAAAATTCTAAATAAGTTTCACTAAATATTTTTAAAATGTTATAATTCTAATATAAATATAATCCTTTCATTACTTGTTTAAAAGACACATATCTCATTATTACTTTTTCATTTCCTCGTTTTTCGTTCTCCTGTGTTCTTTGAACTTGACTAAATTGCATAATTTATTAGAACCGAATTATTGTTAAAACCAAAACATAATTACAATAATAAAATTACAATTTATTTTTTTTCCACTCCTTTCTCATTTTAGGAATTCGTTCCCACTACAAATATTGAACGCATTTATGAACAAAGAGATTTCAAATCTATTTAAAACCAAACATTAACATGAACTAGATGTGAAAAAGGGCATTAGGGTTTATATCTATATATTGTTGGACCCTAGTGTGTTTTGATATGCCAAAATTAACAAAATAATTGTATAAGGATTAACAAAACTTTAAGGCATGACATAAGTTTAGTACATAATGGGTTCAAAGTTTCTCTCTAAAGATATTAGTTTTAGTACAAATGAGAGATTTTTTTTATCAAGAATGAGCTCTAGGGTTTGCAAGATTGAATGTTGGATATTGCACTATTCTCTCTTTTCTTTTTTGCAAATAAATCGCCCTGTTTAAGTCTTCACCAACCCTTAGAAAATTAGAGTCGTTGCTTCATTTAATGCACAAAGCTACAGAACCTAGAGGAACGAGCGTTCCAACATCGAGAACTAGCGTTTTGACACCAACAATCACTTTTTTTTTTTTTTAATCTTATGATTTGGAATGATCGTTCCCCTATTGTGAATGGGCGTTCCATCTTGGATCTCTTTATGTCTAAATATTTCAAAACCTTGAAAGATTTCTTGGAATTGTGTCATTCCTTCCCGGAACGACTTTGAAGAATTCTAGGAACGTGCGTTTATCGAGGTCGTTCTTGCTAGACTTGAAGTTCCCCCAATCTTGACTTGAGCTCCAAAGTTCTAAGTCCAAAATCTTGACTTAAGCTTGGAACGTGCATTCTTCTTCATGAAATGAGTGTTCCTCTTCAGATCGCAAAAAGTGTCAAGTTTCCAAAGCTATAAACGAGGTAATGGAACAACATCGTTCATGTAGAACAGGTTGGAGGAATGGTCATTCCTTCTTTAGATCGCAAAGGATGTCCAACTCGCAGATGTGTGTTAGCCTTTTTGAATAAGTCTTTCAAATGTTTGGAATGGCTTGCTGGAATGGTCGTTTGATTTGGTCGTTCCACAATGACTTGAGTTTCAGCTCGAGTGGATGTTTCCTTCATTTTGGGCAGAACCATGAACGGGGTCATGGAACGAGGTCGTTCCAAATTTGAACGGCTTGATTGAAAATTATTTTTCAGAAATATTGAATGGAACAGGTGTTCTATCTACGTGAACGGTCATTCTACCTGGAAATTCAACATTTTTGTTTTGGTTATGACTTACGACATATCTTTGCACATTGTCAGTTCTTTTAACAATATTTTTTATTAGTTTTGGCACATCAAAACATGAGGGCTCAACACTTCTTCTATATTATATTTTGAAAAATCCATAACTTTAGCCTTTCCTTTGTCTTGTTGTATTTTTTTTACTTTGTTGGGTAAATTATCCGTTCACCATTTTCTCCGCTCCGCGAGGTTGGGTCTGAAGCTTCAAGACTTATTTCAGTTTGCCTGGAAGCTGCTGCCAAGTTTCTTGCTTCACCCATAGGCTGATGTTGACTCACTAGAGTTTTACGACTAACTTTTTTTTAAGAAAAAAGAAAGAAAACTTAAAAAGGCTTGAGAATGAAAGATTGTTCTCTGTGAGTAAACTAAGGCCATCTTTCTAGCATCAAGTGTTCAAGCGAAACACCGAGCTAGCATGTTTACCATCAATTTGAGTACGAAATTTGTCTACCTATATTATAAAAAGCTAACAACTAGGTCAGAAAAGGCATCGATGCGGTTGTTGGTGTGGCATCTCCGATGTTTAAGTTAATTATGAAAGCTAATAAAAAACTTTTATGGGACCAGATTTTGGTGAATTTGTATAAGTCATTGAACGTACTTGGACTTTAGCTTACCCTTGAAGTTTTATAAAGCCTTGACTTTGGAGAATTAACTAACCATGTTCTAGGGGTTGTGGCATGTTCTTACCTACTTAAGTTATGTGTAATAATCGTTTAGTCACCTTATCTATTTTATCTGACAGTTTACGTAGGACTGTCAGACGAGTCGAGTCGCTCGCGAGCTAGCTCGGCTCGACTTGTCCGAAGCTCGTTTGGAGCTCGACTCGACAATTATCGAGTCGACTCGGCTCGAACTTGGTTCATTAACTGAGTCGAGTTCGAACATGGGGTGGCTCGGCTCGTGGGCTCGCGAGCCTGGGCTGGCTCGTGTATGGAAGGTGCTTTGGTGAGTTTTATAAACCATGAGGTACTTAATTGTTATATAGCAGTGAAATTTTTTTAAAAAACTGACACTTACCCCCGCCCCCCCCCAAAGGGCAAAATCGTAAAACACCAAATTTTACCCCAAATCAATTTCATTTCCCCCAATTCCCAAATCGCAAACCCAACGAAGAACCCTAACCCTGGAACCAGTGACCTCGCCGTGAAATCAGTCATCTTCGTCGCTGTCGTTGATCTCCCCAAGGAGCCCAATCGTAAAAACACTCACACAAACTGCAATTTCATCCCTCAAAGCTTGAAACTAGGTTTGCTAACTCTTCTCCTCCAAATCGACTGAAGTGTAAACCCCTAAATGTCGAAATCGCACCACCGTGAAACTGACAGGCTTCATCCCGTGTTATTACAGCCACCGGTGAGTTTTACATCTCTTCTTTCATCCCTTTCATGCTGCATTCCAGAGGATTAACTAGTTCATTGATTTTACACAGTAATTTCGCAAGCTTATTATTATGCTTATGAGTTGTTTTGCTTTTGAATTTATGTTTGCTTTTGAGTTGTTTGTTCATTGATTTCACGCTACATTCCAAAGGATGATTATCACATTTATAGTAATGATTTTGCTTTACTGTTTTATACACACTAAATTTATCCGATTTAAAATTGAAAAGCTTATAGAAACAGGGTGAAAAGGTAATATGACACTCTAGAGATTGACATGTAGATTGGAGTTGATTAATTGTTGACTAACTGAGATAAATTTTGTACCTTGCCAACTCCAATGCACATAGTGAGAGGTCTAGATCTTTTGTAGCTGCTGTCAAAGACTATTCCATCAGCAAATCTTGTCGTGTAGTGAACCTGTACATTGAAACAAATACAATTCATGAAATGTCCATTAACTAGTAGGAATTTTTATTAATTTTATCAGACAAGCTTCTGACAATTAGCTGAAAGCCTCGGGAGACCATAATGTAGTTACATATTGTGATGCTTTAAGTATACAAAAAAATGCCTACTTGAATTGGTTTTAGATCTTTTCTTAAAATGCTTTTAGATCTTTTTTTACTCATTATTAATGGTGTCTTATTTTTCAATTGTAGGTATGGCCTCGAGAGACAGTTCCTCAAGCACCCCTACATTGGATGATGTCGACGATCATGTTACAGTAAGAGCAGTCGATCGGCGTAACATTTACACAAGCACAGGTGGTACGGAGCAAAATGTGAGTAGCTCCGAAAATGTAGAAGACAATGATAATCCACTACAAAGGAAGAAGAGAGCCAAGACATTAGCTGTGTGGTTAGAATTTAGGGAGGTGGTTCTCCCTGGTGGTATAAGGAAGGAAGAGTGCATTCATTGTAAAACAAAGCTGAAAATGACTGCCACTGGAAGCACTACACAATTCAATAGACATTTGAAGAGGTGTGCGAAGAGAACAGCTAACTTGAGGCAATAATAAATAAATTTCCCCGCTTCCAGTTCTCAGGGTGCCTTTACTGTCTTGCCTGCTCTACGAGGCCAATTTGATATGCTTAAGATGAGGGAGCTTATTGCACATTGGGTATTGATGCATGAGCATCCGTTTTCTATTGTGAAGGCAGAGGGGTTGAACAATATGATGAAGTACGGGATTCCTCAATGGACTCCGATTTCCCGTAATACTTGTAAGAATGATTGTATAAAAGTGTTTGAAAATGAGAGGCAGAAGTTGCAGACCATATTGAAGGGTGTTAGGAAGATAAGTCTGACCATAGATCTATGACATTCAGGCAACTAGAGGATGGAATACATGGTGTTGATTGGGCATTAGATTGATGATAATTGGAAGTTGAATAGACGGGTGTTGAACTTTATTCATTTCCCTCCTCCCCGTTCTGGTGTTGCCATTGTTGATGCAATTTTCAAGTGTTTGATAGAGTGGGGAATTAAAGCTAAGGTCCACACGATCTCGGTGGATAATGCTTCAAGTAATGATGTTGCAGTAAAAGTGTTGAAAGATAATTTCCAAGCTACGGGGAAGCTCATATGTGGGGGTAAGATGTTTCATGTGAGGTGTTGTGCACACATCTTGAACCTGGTTGTTCAATATGGTCTTTATCAGATTAGACATATTATTGAGGACATCTGTGGTAGCCTGATATTCAGCAGTGGCGATTACCATTTCGCAAGCTTATTCTTGATTACAAAACATGGTGGAATTCAAAATATGATATGTTGGCAACGATAGTGAAATTTAGACCTTTTTTTCCTTGTTTGAAGGAGAGGGATTTGAGTTATCATTATTGTCCCAAGGAGGAGGATTGGGACAAAGTTGAGAAAATTTGTTCAATTTTAAAGGTGTTTACTGGTGCAACGAATCTCATATTAGGGAGTGATTATCCGACATCAAACTTGTTTCTAAAACAAGTTTGTACAATCAAAATTATGTTGGATAGTAAGAGTCAGGATGAAGATGAGTTTATACAGTCCATGATTTGGAAAATGAAAGAAAAGTTTGACAAATATTGGGGAGAATGTAATCTATTAATGGCAGTGGCTGCTGTTTTGGACCCCAGATTGAAGATGAGGGTGATTCAATGGTCGTTCCCCAAGATGTATCCTGAGCGTGAAGCGCGGGCAAATATTGATGTTGTTCGAGATGCCTTGTATGAGGTATATAGGGAGTATGCTGATGCCAGTAAAGCATTGACTGTTGCCCGTGCTTCTACATCTATAGGGGATGGAGTTGAGGTTGTTGGTGAGGGGTCGGGGGTCATGGCAGAGAGGGCGGAGGATTAGGATGATTTTAGTGAGTTTCTGGATGTGGCTGAGACGGTTGAGCCAACTAAATCAGAATTAGACTGTTACTTTGGAGAGGGATGCCATAAATGTGTGGAGGACCCTGCGGCGTTTGATGCTTTGACGTGGTGGAAGGCAAATTCAATAAAGTTCCCTATCTTGTCTACCATGGCTTGTGACATATTAGTTATCCCTATCACTACGGTTGCTTTTGAGTTTGCTTTCAGCGCCGGCAATAGGGTTATTGACATGTACCGATCGTCGTTGTCTCCCGACACGGTGGAGATGCTCTTATGTGGATGTGATTGGTGCCGGACTTTGAATGGGGTAAAGAAAGGATGCAAAGTAGGTTATATACTTGTATTGAATATTGTTTTTATTAAATTTAATTATTACTTTATATTTATACTAACTAAACTTCAATTACTCCTCCTTTGTCATTTTCAGGAAGAGCAGCAACCGTTGGAGACCAGCCTTCCTATCCCGTAAGTTCCTGGGATTCAGTGCATGGTTTGGCTATGGTAGGAGGCATACATAGGTAAAAGTTTGATTCATTTTGCTTTTGTTTCATGATTATGCATATTTTTCTCTTGTCATAGTTACCTTAAAAAATACTTACTAAATTGAACATTTTATACAACTAGGGGGAAATGGTGGTTTTGGTTGAAGACAGCCTTATTGCAGACTATTGGTAGATAGTTATTTTGATTGCTGGACTGTATTTTCATATCTTGGACTGTTATTTGTATATATACAGAACTGTTTTTTGATTTTGTAAAGTAATATGCATTTTGCAAAGTCAGAAACTGTCATGGTTAATATGGTTGGAAATACTAACTGTCATGGTTAATACTAACTAAATTATTTTAACTCTCTCTCTATGCTGTCTCTGTGTCTTGAGTGGTGTTTGGTTTGCTTTTGTTCTTTCTCTAGAGTGAAACTCTGGAGGTTAAGGACTGAAGTTTAAGTGATGGGTTGGTTTCCTTACGGTGGAAAAGAAAAGAAAAATGCAAAGAAGAAGCTAAATAGAAAGCCTGACGATCAAATCCTGTCAACTTCAGATACATTTATTTATGTTTATATCAACAACTCTTTTAACTAATTTTGATTACTTTTGAATTTTTGTTTTATGCTTTTTGAGGTTAGTTTTTGCGCATGGTTTGGATTGATAAGGAAATTAAGTTCATTTGCTTGACTGTTTTGATTAGTCTTTTCTGGGTTTGCTTCCATGTTTTGATCTGCTTTGAATGTTGTAGTTATGATTTGAGGATAATGTTCTGATAGGACTATCCTCTCTTTGTTTTTGCTGTTGGTTGGGTCTGATTGTGACTCACCAGGACTTGTTTAACTTTGAATCAATATACATTTTGTTGATCGTGTTTGTTCTTTGATTGTTGGGTGTGCTGTGTGTGTATTTTGATTGTGTTTGCTGGGGTCCCATCATGTTCTTTGATCATGCTTGTTTATTACTTTATTTAAGCTCCGTAGGTCTGCTTCTAATCAAAAGTGTAGTGAAAAGATAATTTATTTAGAATTGCGAAACTTCAGTACTATACAATGCTGGAGGATTCTGTTACCCTATCTTTTCAGTCTCATGAGCTTCCAACTGTAGTGTTGCTTTATTTGAAATTAATTCAACTATATACATTGAACTAAATGAACTGTTGTAGTGTTGCTTTATTTGAAATTAATGTATCTCTGTGTGTCTTTCTTTAGTGGAATCTACAAACCAAACAATACAGAAACAAACAGTGACCAATCAATAGAGAACCAATAAAGCCATCAAGTGTTGGTATTATTGTTGGAACGACAACCAGTGGCTGTGTCCTTAGAACTACATTACCTGAAGAGTAGCATTCCTGAATCAAAAGGAGTGAGATTGTTCTATTTTGAGGAGCTTATTAATTACACAAACAATTTTTTTAAGCCAATGCCATCAGAACTAGGGATATGGAAAGGTTTCAATGTCATCTGTTTAACCATATTCTATATTAATTTAAGATTGGTTTCTATTGATACTTGTTAAAGATTGATGTCTTTTGAGTTGGCATTTGGATTTCAATTGTTTAAAATTTCAATTCTTGGGACATACCTGTTTATGAAGTTTGAATTGTGCTTATTTATGTTATTTTTTTGTGAAGGAACATGGAATGCTTGATTCCATATGCGATAAACTGAAGGTAAATTCAACATTGGATGTAAAGAAAGAAGGTTGTAAGTAGGGGGGAAATTGGCTCGGTTAAACCTTAACGAGCTTGAGCTCGATTGGAGCTCGACTCGAACTCTATCGAGCTCGAGTTCGAGTCGCATTTCCCAGGCTCGAGCTTGACCCTGTAGCAAACGAGCTGAGCTCGATAAGTCGAAAACTTGACTCGGCTCGGTTTGTTTACAGTCCTAAGTTTACGTATAAATTATCTGTATAAAATTGAAGTTTTAGTTATTTTTAGGTGAATTATAACCAAGGTAGCCACAATATAACGTATTAGTTCAATTGAACCTATTCAAACTTTGAAAAAAAAAAAAAAAAAAAACTTTATATTTTATTGTATTTACAATTTTGACCATATTTAAATTCATATTGAACCTATTTAAACTTTAAAAAAAAAAGAGCTTTATATTTTATATTATTTATAATTTTAACCCTATTTAAATTCATATTGATCTCATAATGTTTTATTATCAATTTATTAACTTAAATATTTTGAATCTATTTAGTCAAAATTCTGACTACGCCCCTAATTATAACTGTACATAGTAGTTACAATATAGGTTGACTTTGTCACTTTGTCTCTTGGTTTGAGCCACTTTATTATGGGTGGTCATTTTCAGCCCTCACCTTTTGTATCATAGCCCCCAATTAAATATTGTTTTACTGGTTTAACCTTATGTAAAATTATTATTAAGGATATTAGATTTTAAGTACACTATTTTATATTTTCCTTTTATTTATTCTTTTTTATAACATCTAAAACTCATAGTTTATCTTTTAAATTGCTTTTAAAAAAGAAAAACATAAAAAATTATCACTTTTCACTTCTCCATCATACTTCAAATTTTCAATTAAATCCAAATTTGATATCTTCATCATTCTTTTTTCTTTACAATAATACACTTCAAATATATTTGTTCTTCATGAACTTAAAGTTATAAATTAATCCAACTAAAAAGAATGGCAAGACTTCCCATTTAACAAATTATCTCCATTACAATGGACTGGTTGGAATTCTTTTAAGAATACATAACTTTATACTTAATAGTTGTTAGGTGATGGAAAAAGTGTAGAAAATATAGATAATCTATGTTGTAATTAAGAAGAAATATCTTGAGTTTAGGAGACTTAAAAGGAAAAAATATATATAGATATATAGATATTTACCATCTTATATTATAATTGTCATATTTCAATGGATCTTTACTAAATTAGACAAAATAAAATAGGAAATAATCTAAATCTCAAAAAATTGGGAAAATGAGATAAAAAAAAATATATTTAAGTCTGAAACGGTAATTTTGGTATTAAATAGGGTTTAAAAAAAATCTTTTAAAATATAAAGAGGGTATACTTAATATAGGTTAATGATCAATTATGTAGAGATAAAAATCACTTTCCTTTTGTCAAATCATTCACCCATAATTCAATAACCCAAGCCCAAAACCCACTTAATTGGGCCATGCTAAGATTATTTGAATCGGGCCTTAGGCCTTTTATTATATCTGACAATAGTAAACTAACATTTAGCAAATTTTACTTCTTAAAAAAAAAAAAAAAAAAAAAAAAAAACAAAAAACTCAGCAACCGGAGAAAAAAAAATTGTTAAAAATAAAATGTTAGAAACACAATTCTCCCAAGGAAAATGATAAAACTTTAACCACCACTTAGTGCCATAATAGTAAAAGAATAAAGGAGGATCTAAGAATCTAATATGGTCTCTCGAGTTTGAGTCCCCTTAATATTACAAAGAGCAAAAAGAAGATCTAACATGGTCTTCCGAGTTTGAGTTTTCACAACCTCTAATAAGGGTGATCATTTGACCTTTTATACGACTGACGATTCTAAGGTCTTAGAGGATCAGTTGAAATACGCACAAGCTGACTTAGACACCCTAGTTATCAAATCAAAAAGAAAAAAATTATGAACTTTAAAGAAATCTCATGCTATTACAAAGGGAAGAAAACCTTTTATTTTTTGGGTTTACCCACTTGATAAATAATAGAAGAATTATATTATAATTCCCGATCTATAATTAAATATATCAACATTTAATAAAAAATAAAAATGCAGGCTGTGGGGTTCGAACCCACGCGCACTTATGTGCAGAAGATCTTAAGTCTTCCCCCTTAACCTCTCGGGCAAACCTGCTGATTTGTTTTTCCTTACTTTATATTATATTTATCTATTTATTTTGATACATCTGTCTATAAATACAAATTCACAGCTAAATTGAAACCCTAGATAAATCAGATCGTTGAATTGGTTAGTTTACAGAAGCGGGATGGCGGAGCACTTAGCATCTATCTTCGGAACAGAGAAGGATAGAGTTAACTGTCCGTTCTATTTCAAGATCGGAGCTTGCCGTCATGGAGATCGGTGCTCCAGGCTTCACACTAAACCTAGTATTAGCCCCACTCTCCTTCTCTCCAACATGTACCAACGCCCTGACATGATCACTCCCGGCGTTGACCCCCAAGGCCAAGCTCTTGACCCCCGCAAGATCCAAGACCACTTCGAGGATTTTTATGAGGATTTATTTGAGGAGCTTAGCAAGTACGGCGAGATCGAGAGCTTGAACATTTGTGACAATTTGGCGGACCACATGGTTATTTTTCTTTTTCTTATGTTTTTTTTTTAATCAATTTCTTTCTTTCTTTGTTTTTTTAATATTTTGTTTATTTATTTTTTAATTTTTGTTGGTAGTTGAAGGTCAGGTTCTTGTTTTTGTGCAGGTGGGTAATGTGTATGTTCAGTTCAGAGAGGAAGAGCATGCTGCCAACGCGCTTCGAAATCTCAATGGAAGGTTTTATGCAGGTTACATCTTTGATCTTGATTTCTTGTGCTTGAGTTTACAATGTATTAGATGAATATTGTTTCGTCTTTTCATGGCCCAAGAATTTGTTCTTAATTGTAATTACTCTAGAATATGTTCCTAATATTATTGACCGAAGGTTTTATGTAGTGTGATCACTTTGATTACAGTTGCCTTCGGTCAGGAAAGAACTTGTGAAATTGAAAGTGAATGAGAGCATTCTCATTAACAGTCAAATATAGCCTAGGATGAGAGTGTCCGTAGTGCTCATATGGGCGCATGTTTTCCTTTTCAGTGTTTTGGGGCTGAGTCTCTCAATGTTTCAATAATCTTGGATATTTTGATGTTGGGTTTCATTATTCAAACTTTAGTTACCATTTTCAATAATGTTGGACATGTTGATGTTGGGTTCATTATTCAAACGTTAGTTACCATTTTCATCATGTTTTTGTCGTTCCTTGGTAACCCCCATTTATTTACCATTTTTTGGGTTGCGTCAACCAACCCTCAATTTTTTTTTTTTTTTTTTATAAATTTATTCATTGTGATCATTGTAAATGATTGTTTTGTCCTTCAGTGGTGGATTTCCATGCACTATTACGGATGAGACTATGATCAATGATGTCGCTAAGTTAAAAGATTCTATTAACAGAGCTTCTTTAGTATTAACATGATCTTTTTTTCTGGTGAATTTGTTGGCCATTTAATCGTAACCGTAATCGTAGATTGAAATTTTCTCATGGAGCTCAGGCCACTGTTATGCATAATTTGTTCTCTTGGTTTTACTCTTCTTGTTGCCATAATTTTCAGTGTCAAAAGTTGTACCTGTGTAATCGATCACTTTTTTTACGTTGAATTTTTTGTATTATCAGGGCGTCCCATCATTGTTGATTTCTCCCCAGTGACTGATTTTCGAGAAGCCACTTGTAGGCAGTATGAGGAAAACGTATGCAATCGAGGTGGCTACTGTAACTTCATGCATTTGAAGAAGATTAGCAGGTTGGTTTCTATTTATTTTTCCCCTTTTTAAGCTTTGACATTGGTGATATGGTGGTATCTAAATGCTGTTTTTGAATCAATTTAGGGACTTGAGGAGGCGACTGTTTGGGAGAAATAGGAGAAGGCGCAGCCGCAGTCGAAGCAGGAGTCGTAGTCCACATAAACATCGTGGTTATGAGGAGCGCGCACATGGAGGCCGTGGTTCAGGTAGACGTGATGATGAAAGAGATCATCGCTACCATGATAGGGGCAGGAGGCCTAGAAGCCGAAGTCCTGGACGTAAGGGGGGACGAAGCAGAAGCCCAGGGTTGAGGAGGAATAGGAGTCCAGTTAGAGAAAGTAGTGCTGAAAGAAGGGCTAAGATTGAGCAATGGAACAGGGAAAAGGAGGAGGCAGAATCTGGTCATAAGATTGATAATAGTAACGACGACGATGACAGGAACAACAACGGCTTTGCAACTGATGATGGTCAATATAGTGATCCTCAGCAGCAGTGACAGTGGTGAAAACAACTACTGACTTGATTGGAGAGTTTGTCTGGTTTGTTCCTATGCTCTATTTTAGCTTCTAAAGTTTAATTAGTACGTACAGGAGTGCAGCTTTTCTTTTTGAATAAGACCATTTAGAAAATATGGCTTATTGCCCATTTCCACTGTGCAGGTGGAGTACAGGTTCACTGTCGTGTTGTTGAAAGTAAATTCCATTTTTTCTTGATTTTCCTGCCTTATTTTAATTTGAAGGAAAATGAATAAAGAAAAAATAATTATACAAAAGTGATTTTTTGCATGTACCATAACCTTCCAGGTGTTCTTTTTTTTGTCCCGCCAAAGACAATTGCATGGTGCATGTCTCTGGTGGTTAAAGGTTCAGCTACTGCTGTTTGCCTTTATGTTTTCTCAAAATTGTTTTTGTCCACTTCATTTGTATATTTGGTGTTTACCTCAGTCGCAAGTTTTGCTGACCGTTCTGTTATAGCTTTAAGTAGGAAAAGTGATCTTTCAGAAGTGATTTTGTTAATGGTGCACAAACAATTGGAGGTTGTTTCGGAAGTTTTTTTTTCATTCTAAATTTTAAAATTGAACTTGTCTTAGCCATTCAATCTCTCTGATATCTTGATACATGGTCAGAAATTTTTCCAGTCAGAATGTTGGTCTTAGTTTTCCTACTGTGTCTCCAAGTGAAGGGAATGAGTGGGATAGTGTATCTGTGCAATTTTGTCAGTGTCCTTGTATGATAAAGTTGATTGACAGGCAGTCCTGGTTAATAAAATCCGGTGGGATCTAAACTGAAGAACCCTGTGCTGTCTGTATTATTTCCTTTGAAATTGGTGGTCTTACCTAAGTTATGAGTTTTGCAGGTTCAGGTTTTCCTGCTACCCAGGATCGGCTCATTTTTTCTGCAGCTTACCATAATATTTGTATACAGGTTGGTGTCGTTGTCTGCAGAGCATGTTTACAGGATTGTAATGCTACATTGTGGAAGTATTCAGAGGCTAGTGGACCTAACTTCAAGAAAATGAGCTACGGATTGTATGATCTTGCTGTTTGAAGAATAGATTGATATTTAGGGATGTTAAGTTTTTAAGTTATTTAAATGCAATGTTAAAACGTTTTCGTATGGGATTGTGTTGTACCTTGTCACAGAATTTTATGCTATGGCCATGGAAATACTTGTCTGGCACTCATTTTATGGTTTCTTCTTTTTACTGATTTAAATCTCTTCATAAATATTGCCATGAAAATAAATCACAAAGTATCTGAAGATAACAATACTGTTTATCCTTTGAGAAATTGATTTTTTGGATATGATTGCTGATGTCAATAAGATTATGTCTTAATAATTTCGATAAGTCAAGTTAAATATTATCTTCTTAAAAATATTATTGTTTAGCTGAACGATTTCCTAATATTCTGGTGAAGCTACCCAATGATCAAATTTTTTTAAAAAGTCTGCTCTTCTGTCTTAAATTCAGTTAATAAACATTCATATAAGGTCCAATGTTTGGCTTGATTTTGAGGAGGGACTACGAAATTTTTGAAAAAGTCTGCTCTTTTGTCTTAAATCTAATCCCCATCCCCCATTCGTTTCATAAACTACAACATTAAAACTTTTACATAAATGTTAAAAAGCTATTTACTTTATTTCAATATTATTTTAATATATTTTTACCAGTGCTGGTCATTGCTGCCATTTTCGATAGTGTGTCTGACGACACCATTAGGTAGGTCGCTGATTAATTTGTCGAATCTTTTTCTGACGAAGACGGTCTCCCCGTAACCATTGTAATGTAAATTGGCAAACGATCTATTCAATCATTTAGGCAGTATGTTGTGTCAACTCTGACAATTGTCGTCCAATAACCCGTCAGCCACCTCTAAATTTTTTTAATTTCTAAAATTTATATTAAAAATGTTAATTATTATTTTATTTAAGTTTTTAGATTTTTTTTATAATTATAGTTCTATTTAAATAATTTATTATAAATTAATCAAATGTTAGCACCAACCAGTCCTATCCAGTTAACTTCACTACAGGACGAAAAAAAAAAAATTAGTCCAATGTGACTCATCAAGAGTTCAAGACCCCTAGTTCACGGGTTTGGACTTTGGACAACCTTAATTGGTTAACAATAGAGTCAATTCCTTTTTAATCCTCGTGGTGGTTTCAGTTTACTAGAGTTTAAAGAACAATGATTTCAAAAACTAGGCCCCTGTTTGAGTGTTTTGTTTTACTCTTTTTAACTATATTTCGGTTATCCTATTTAGATTAAATGTTTACTTATTGGAATCATTCTTGTTTTTTATTATCCTATTCTATTCAACTCAAAACATTTTTTCAACTCTATTCAACTAAAAACAATTATATTTTACTCTTAATTTGAAAATTAATCAATCCAAGACTACCATCGCTTGCCAACAACCACCACTGACCGCTGTGGTCCTAAAAACAATTATCTTTCACTTCTTCTAATATGAAAATTAACCCATTCAAGACTACCACCTTTGACCGCTGTGGCCAAAACAATGCACGACCGGTTAGATCTGACTGATCGTGCATCGATATGACCATTGACGACCAGATTCTAGCTAGATTCATCCGTTAACGATGGCTAGAGATTTAGCATAAAACAATCATAACAGTACACGACCAGCCAGATCCGACTGGTCGTGCGTCATTTTGGCAACTGCTGACTATCATCTGATGGTGGTGGCCAGTGGTCGGCTGTCCTCTTTTACTCACCCACCTTTTCTTTTCTACTGTGTTTCTTTTTGCAGGTTAATACCTCATGGAGTAACCATTTTTCTGGTGGATAGTTATTCTGTTATCAGTCCCCTCTCTCCTGATATTGGGAGTTTGATGTTATTAGAGAGAAGCAAGCCCTCTTTATTCCCCTCAAAAGTAGCCCGAAAACTATGGAGAGTGGGGTTCTAAGTGTGGTTGTATTTTGTAAAAGGGGTTGAATAGTGGCAGAACCTAAGTCCCCAAGCCTATAGGGTGCTGGCTTGGGGCGTGTGATAGGACAGGTGTTTTGGAATTCTATCATATTGCTAGGTCTGGTGCAGGGTGCTTTTATTCACTCTATCTGGCTGGTATGGAGATTAGTTTGGCTTTTAGATTATCTGGTTGTAGACCAGGGAGCAGTCTGCGCTGGGAAGTTGTCTGTAGAGTTGATGCCTGCTGTTGCCTTTTCTCCTCCTGTTTGGTTGCGTTTATGTGCAGGGTTTTTGCAGCTGCTATGCTTGATTTTTTTGGGTCTTCTTTGGTGGCTGATTTTGATGTACAGCTTGTGCTGTTGGTCTTCTTTATCAAAAGGCCTGCATTGTTATTGTGCTGATTCTCTCCTTCTTGTATAGCCCTCTTTGAGGCAAGTTTGGTGGTTCTTTTGAATTATAAATCCATGTCTATTCTGCTGGTTTTGGTTTGATTTGTTTCTTGGGCTTGTCCAATGAACTTTGACTTGGATCCTCTTTCTTTTATTCTTTATACAATTACCCTTTACCAAAAAATAAAATAAATAAATAATAATAATCTAAATATTTAAAAAAAAATGTACCACACAACTATTCAGATTTAATCTAACTCAACTCAAGTTAAGTCACTTTCTTAGAATAACATTTTCCAAATAATCTACCATACGCGCCCTAGAGTTTTGGTCCTTCTCATTTGAAAATACTATCATCTTAGTCCTCTTAGTTCTTTAACTTAATAAAAGGTTTGTTAGTTGCTAAATTTTAATGAAATGAAGCAAATGCCTTTTTAGAAACAAAAATGAAAAATTACTTACACAAACAATATTAAATGAAATTAACACATTATATACTAAATTCATCACCTGTACATAATTTTGATTTTCAAATGTGCAATATATATATATAATTCTATTACAAATTTAAAAAAAATGCATTTTATATTAATGTTTAATAACTTTAAAAGACGGTACTTTTATCATTTCAATATAAATTTAATAGTCAATTAACCTTTTATCGAGTCAAAAAACTAATACAATAGTAGTTTGAAATGTAAGGACCAAAACCAGTGTCTTAAAACCCGACCCAACCTGACCGATTGAACTAGGACTCGAGGCCTTCACCGAGTCGGGTTACAAATTTTCCTACTCATTGAAAACCTTAAAAATCCATGAACAATTGAAGGCTAGAATATTAAGGCTTTTGAAAAGCAATAGCTGATGAGTGTGATAGTGGCAACGTTGGTGATTTTCAATGAGTGGATTGACCGAAAATCGCAAAACTATGTTATTGAAAAACACTCGTTGTTGTCGAAGATTAGGGAGGCCAACAAGAGGGGGATAAGATGAGTTTTGGTCAGGAGACTGAGGGGAATGTTTTCATAGTGATTGGGAGTGTTGTTGTTGCCAAAAAAGTGTCCTATTTGCCGAAGCCGACGATGGTGTTTGAGGCGTTTTTGCGAGATTTTAAACATATAAGGAATTACATGCAATTTTCAAGAGTATTTATGTTAGATTTCCTTTGGACACCAGTTTGACCCATCGATCAACCCGAGACCCAACCACTCTGTTGGGTTTCACCTGAAGTTGGGTTTTAAAACACTGACCCAAACTCTAGTATTTAAAATAATTGACCTTAAACAGTAGTGAACTGAAACCACAGTCACTAAAAAGGAATTAACTCGTTAAAACTATTATTTACTATCTAGCCCATGTTTGGTTGATTTTAACGGATTGGTGAGTACTATAAGCTTGGCAAGGTTGCACTAAATTGAGCGAAATAGACCTGAGCACAGTGCACCGCATAGGTTTATCATGCATTGAACTAATATAAAATTTTAACACCATGCTTTTCTTTTCAAGAACTAATTTTCTTTAAAAAATTATTTATATAGTATTACAAAATTTAAAAGACTACTGCTTAACATGTGCATTTACATAGTATTAATATTAAAAAAAGAAAAATTAAGATATCATTGTTTAAACCCAAAATCAAATTCAGTAGTTTAAATTGCTCTACAAAATTTATGAAATCAAATTTCTGACAGTATTAATTCATATTTAAGTTATTTTTCATTTTTTATTTCAAACTTTGGAACAAAATTCTGACTCTATTTATCAAACCAAGCTGAAGCTAGAGCAAGGCTCACTCTTCATACCTAAATATTCGAATCTGGTTCTTTTACGTATCTTATCAACGCAAATTCAAATGCTTTAAGAAATCACCACTCTCAGCCTTGGCTTGTGCTTTTCAAAAAGAGCATGTTAATTCAGGTTCGGGTTTAACTACCATGTAAGTTTTTAAAGTCTCAAAGACCTCTGATTAGTTTCAACAAAACCAAGTCCCCCCAAAATCATAAATCCCAACGAAATGACTACCGCTATTCGATTCACTAGCCTATTTCTCACTCTTCTTTCTCCATAACATTCATCTCACAATGAGATCAATGCAGAAAGCTATTTAAACACCATTCATGCAGTAGCACTGTGCTTAGCCTTTGTATGAGCTTGCAATCCACCTCCGTGGTAAATGACCTGCAAGAATTAAACAAAATGTGATTACTTGAAACTATAGAAAATTTCATGAGCTTAATGGGTAAGATTACCTGTTGCAAGACTTGCAGAGAATGACCCCGCTGATTTTTGAGTTTGCTGCTTGATAGGCTGCTATTAGCAGGCGTTTTCCGAGCCTGCTTTGAAGGGTGAGGAGTAGCAGTGTGAACAACCCCTTTCTTGCCTTCTGCGGTGGTTGTCAAATCAACCATTGTTATCTCTTGACCGCATGTCAGATGCTAATGCTTGTGCAGATTGTATTCATGTCAGCACACTATATTGTAACAATAACAAAAAAAAAAAAAAACACACACACACACAAATTAACAGATAGAGATACACCAAAGAACACTACGAAAAGAAGAGTAGGCCAATACAAAGAAATTGATACAAACGCATGTAATGAACTAATCTGGTTAATTATATAATACGAGGAAGATACTAAAGATAAACATCCTACTACCCCATAAAACCATAGAATCCCGTATTCATTTGATCCAATGAGCTATAGGTGTGAATCTTATATTCATAACAATTTAAATAAATAAAAAGATTAATAGATAGAGATAGACCAAAGGATGTCTACTGAAAGAAGGTTAGGCCAACTAACTGAATAATTAATACAAACACCAAATGAGAG